AGTTTAGAACAAAAACTGAAATGGGCACAGGTTGAGAAAAGGGTATGGAAGGGGGAAGAGGTCCTGCATGGGTTGGGGAAGGCATGCAGGGGGTGGCATGGGTCAAGTAGGATATGTGGAGGGGGAGGGCTTGTGAGGTGGGTGACACAGGTTGATGGTGCACATGAGGGTTCCTTTCCTGCATGGGCTGGGAAGGGTGCACGGGGGGTGTCTTTCCTCCTCGTTTCTCCTTTCCTTCCTTTCCCTTCTCTTCTCTTCCTTTCCCTTGCCAGCAGGTAGATATGTGTTTGCTATGGATGGGGGAGGGAAACAGGGATTGCAAGACTTGAAGTTCTGAACTGAAGAAGCTTCTTAGATGGGAAGTGAAATATTTTTCAAAGGAAAAATACCCCAAGAAAGTCCAGTTGCCTTTTGGAAAAAAAAAACACATTTTAGGACAACAGTGCCCTGGATGATTGAGAATCTCCATAGACATTCAGCTTGCCAATTGCTTAAAGTACACTAGTTACTTTTATTCCCAAAAGAACTGTAATACTGTACCTTAATGGGTTTCAGTTAAACTATTAAGCTTATATTTTAAAGGTCAAAAAATAAAACATTTGAAAGGTCATTTACAACTGTCTGTTGTCTCTGGCTTATATTGATAGGTTATTGAACTGCCAGATGATTGGGTAAATAGTCTTAACTGAGAATAAATATTCAAATTGGATTAGTTGGAAATGTGTGGTCTTATTGTGAGTAGAAAGTGTGCTAAGAAGATTCTAGGAAGAAGCAAGATAATAGCTGCAAGGACTCTTGATAGGAGTTTAGAAGCAGTTTCACGATAGCTTTTGGCAGCAAGAACCAGAAGGTCTCCAGGAAAGACAACTGTAACATTTTATTTTTTTTCATGTCCTGATGAAAGTTTCACAGAATGCTGTAGTAAGTTTGAGGAAGAAAATAGGACTCAAAATATCAAAGGTCAATTTGAATAAGAATGGAGCTGTGTTCAATCTGATATCCTTCCAAAAGAAAAGAAAATACTTAAAGTTCTCCCTCTGAATTCACTCCAGAGAACTTTTAAGTATTTTCTTTTATGAAACTAAAAACAGCTAACTAGAGTGAAAGAAAATTAGCATATACCGGTAGTCCTCAATTTACAATGGTTTGTTTAGTGACTGTTCAAAGTTACAACGGCATTGAAAAAAGTGACTTATGACAGTCTTTCACAGTTATGAACTTCGCAGAATACTATGGTCACGAGTCCAAAATTCAGATGCTTGGCAATTGGTTCATATTTATAACCGTTACTGTGTCCCAAGATCACGTGATCACATTTTGCAACCTTCCGAAAACCAAAGTCAGTGCGGAAGCCAGATTCACTTAACAACCACTTATCATCTGCAGTGATTCACTTAACAATTGAGGCAAGAAAGGTTGTAAAATGTGGCAAAACTGACTTAACAAATGTCTCACTTAACAACAGAAATTTTGAGCTCAATTATGGTCGTGAGTCAAGGACTACCTGTATGCTTTGCTTAAGATCATTAAGTTTGTTAAGGATATAACTTCATTAAAATATTAGTTCATAGGTTATTAAGGACATTTAATCTTAAATAAATAAAGATAACTTATTCATCTTAAATAATTATCCATTTCTATTTATCTCATGTGTAAAAAAAACAGTATTGTAACATTGATGGTGTATTCATAAGAGGCTTTAATTAGTGTTACGATGTCAGCAGTGGAATTTAAAGTATAAAGAATTAGTGTGAATTTAAAGAACAGATTAAGGAAGAAATATTTAAATGTATGGATTTTATATGCTGCCTTGACTTCTCCAAAATAAATTTGGGATGTGAGCTTAGTGTAAAATAAATAACTACCGAATCAAGTACTTTAGAATTTGGTAAAGATCGCTGAAGTAAAAAAAAATCCATTGATAGTTTGTACATTCATCATGTTATGTCTTGGCTGAAGGACTTAAGTGAATGAATGAAGTCACAATTTTTTCCCATTTGGTGGTGGGAATAGGTTTGGGTGATTGGTTTGCATAGCTTTGTTTCCTCCTGTCACTTCCTCTGCTTCTTAGACTGTGAAATGATACTTAGTCAGAATGGCTCAAAAGAGACTTCTAGGATTAAGAAAATGGATAATAATAATAATAACAACAACAATAATAAAGTTGGAAGGGATCTTGGAGGTCATCTAGTTGAACCCCCTGCTCAGACAGGAAATCCTATACCATTTCAGACAAATGGCTGTCCAGTCTCTTCTTAAAAACGTCCAGTGTTGGAGCATTCACAGCTTCTGGAGACAGGTTGTTCCACTGATTAATTGTTCTAACTGTCAGGAAATTTCTCCTTAGTTCTAGGTTGCTTCTCTCTTTGGTTAATTTCTATCCATTGCTTCTTGTCCTGCCTTCAGGTGCTTTGGAGAATAGCTTGACTCGCTCTTCTTTGGGGCAGCCCCTGAAATATTGTAACACTGCTATCATGTCACCCCTAATCCTTCTCTTGAATTAACAGTGCAATCAGTGGGTATGTGAAATTTTCATAGTATCCATGGTAGTATCATAATTTTCTGGATAGGCTTTGGGAATTGAAGGAAATATCTAGGAACGGGAGAAAAAAACTCACTGAGGAGAAGAAATTTTATTCAATAACATCATAGTATTGTCATGGTACAGTAGGGCATAAGCTTGGCATTAAAAATGATTCAGATTCAGGCCCTATTATCTTTTCCAGGACTGAGATAAATGTCCTTATAGAAAATGCCCAATAGTTTCTGCAGAATTTTATTCTCAGTAGTGTCAAAATGTATTTTGCAAAACATTAATATGAAATTAATTGAGATTATCATCTACGTTACATATAGCAGAAGCAGTGGCATATGATAAAACGTGAGCTCACTTCACTGGACTCATAAAATATTATTCTGAGTTGGCAGCAATACATGCATACTAGCTGAATATCTTTCTGCAAATAGAATAAATTTATCTGTTTATGGACCTGATTGAAATCCAACTGATGGAGAAACAATTTTGATTGATTCCCTATCTATAACCATTGAGTGGTTCTAGATGATTCTCTAACTCTCCAGAGTAGGTTCAAGGATTAGATTTAGGAGAAAAGGGATGAGTGAAAATCAGCATCCTCTTTTCTACACATGTGGACATCCTTAAAACAAACAAAGTCAGGATTTCAGCTAGGGTGGACTTCATATCATATGATGGCTGATTGCATGAATATTTTCGTATAGGAAAATGTAATGGAAGAAATGCAAAATGAAATGGAAGAAATATAAACAGTGACATTTTAATTAAGATTACGTTGTTGTAAAGACCCGCCTCAATCAGTTCTCCCAAGAAAGCGGGACTCTTGAAACGGCATCATTTCAAAAGGAACTTTTATCGGGAGGAATAGAAGGCAGGATCTGAGAGTTTCCCGTGCGAATCAAGTAATTAAAAGTGTCCATAGTAACCCCACCCTAACTGTTCATCCCGACGGCTCAAACAGGCCAATCCACAGGTATGAAAACGCCATGGGAACAGAATGATAAGGCGCCGCTTCCAAGGCTGTTAGGTGTCTGCACCATTCTTCCGCGCTTGGAGATAAGGCATATGGCCGGAGGTACATTCCATTCTCACCCCGTTAGAGACACATCAAAGAAGATGGAGCAAGAGGCAGAGCAAAGCAAATACACATTGGCACCTCAAGCTTCCCCTTCCCCCCAGGAGAATGGCAGAACCCGAAAAGAATAAGAAATCCCATGCACATAGAACATGGAGTTCTGACAGCTGTACACAAAATAAAAATAATTTATAAAGCAATAGCAATATCTCAAACAACCTAGTATTAGTAAGCTGATGTAAAGGAGGAAAACTATTTTGAGTTGATTTTATGGTTATATATATCCATATAATTTTTTTGGCACCAAAATAGTAGCTGTTTATCCCTGCCTGTTTTCAGGATGGTTTTTTTTTTATTTACTGGTTTTTCCTACAGCTGTGGGATTTCCTGGTGATCTCATATCAATTACAATCCAAACCTGCTTAGAGATTTTTCAGTCAAGATGGGTTAGATACTGCCACCTTCTGTTAAATTAACTCTTGCAATGGAATACATGTGTATTATGTTGATTTAGATTTTAATGCTAAATACATTATATTGTAATCGAGATATTTTATTCTGGGGCATAAACATTTCTCCAAGAATAGCTAGAGGACTGAAATGTTCTTCACATGTTTTTCAGTATTTGCCTTCTTGGTGTCAGACCCAGGGCTTTTTTTCTCATAGAACGCCCAGAACAGAGTTCCGGCACCTTTTTTGGATGGAACCTTGTAGGCAGGTTGTATGACGTGTATGAGTTCCGGCACCATTTTTTTTTTTTTTTTACAAAAAAAGCACTGGTCAGACTAATACACATTTATTGTTTTTTTGTAAGTTCTGCCATCTTAATTTCCTTGGTTATATATTTAGCTGGCCCAGTCCACATCATGCAAACTAGTTGTTATTTGGATCTTTGTGGGCTTTTCCTAAAGGTATGATGAGTCCTAAGCCTCCTGGGTCTCCTCTACATATTGTGTGTGTATACATAGGCACATGATTGCATGGCTGTATTGGCAGTCTTGCTGTCCTGTGACTGATTGGTAACCATTATTAATTATTGTGGAAATTGATTGTTACCTATTTAGATAACAGCCCTATATGTCTGGTAGGACTGTATGACTATGACGTGTAGATTCTCTAATAGGGCACTTTTGAAAGCATCCTCACTAGTACAATTGATCTGGTCAATCCATTAATGCAGATTGGTCTGTAGACTGCTAACAATTACCAGTTGTCAATCAACGGTTTTTCTGATTATGAAATTATTTTTAGCAATGTGCATTCATTTTAGTATCCCATCGTTACCATTTATTTTGTAATTTAATAGAACACAGTCATCTCAGCAAATTTTAGATTAATAGATAATACTGATTTTTTTTTAACAAGTACAACATTTGTTTTATCTTACAGCTCTCATTTGCAGCAACAACACCAGAGTTAGCAGATAAGAAAAAATATCCTTATTTCTTCCGGACAGTGCCATCCGATAATGCTGTGAACCCAGCAATTTTAAAGTTGCTCAAGCATTATAAATGGAAAAGAGTAGGAACTTTGACCCAGGATATACGAAGGTTTTCTGAGGTAAGAGCAGTTTAATATCTTCTCACTGAAGTTGGAGTTGGTTGAAAAATGGCATGTTCTTGATATAGAGTGAAGCTAATGGTGGGGATTAAGAAACATTTCTAAAATAATTCATAATTAACCAATAGCTGAACCAGCAGATATTGCATATACATTTTCCAAAGATCATATCGTAAGACAGAAATTTTATCTTTGAAGCTTGTTACAAAGGTTTTTAATCTAACTGTTCTTGGTGATACTCTATTTTTCTGTCTGCTAAGAAATGTTTATTTCTGTAATTTAGACTTGGATACATAGATTCCTATCATTGTTACACTATTTTGTTAAGTTGAAGAATAAATATTAATGTTACAGATAGATTATCACATAAAATTTGTATACTTAGTAGTTACTGTCCAATTCTAAATATGGGCTGTCAAAGGACAAAGCTGAAAGAAGAATAATCCAGCAAGGCAAAACTATAATTTGACAAATGACATTCTTGATAGAATTGATCTGAGATTAAAATGCTCGTGTAACATTTTTCCAGGTTTAAAATAAATAAGTAATCTAAAATGGAATAAATAAATAAATAAAAATAATTTTTAAAAGTTAACATTTAGAAGTAATAGTTTATGTAATATAAATGACTAATTATTTATGCATTTGCTTGACAAAAAACAGGTATCACATCTAAATCTCACAAATTTTATAATGCATTAGTCAGAAATCTGATCAAATGAACTAGGACAATTTGAAGGGTATTTTTTAAATATGCAACAATTTTCTCTGCCACAGTACCTGGTGATATTCTGATTAAATTCTGATTCTGATTAAATTTTTATTTACCTTTCACCTTATAGCCTATCAGACCACAGGCTTATTATGTTGAATTTTTATATTAATACATTGTCATATTCAGCTTTGTTTCTGAGTGCCAAGAATGGATATTGCTAATATTCCATTGGGTCCAGTAATTACTGGAATATATTTCATGTGATTGTAGCGCTACCTCCTCAGAGGCCGCCAATGCCCAAGCCCTCCCAGCCACGTTCCCCCCTTGTCCAGCCTTGCAGCAATGTTCTTTAGAGATCGATGAGATGTCTTACAACCGGAGCTCACGCAACATTAATGGGTGGCAGGCTCTTCTTGTTGAAGCAGGACTTTCAGGCACGAACTTAACCAGTCTCAGTGGTTGATGCTCTGAAGATGTATATAACAGCTCAGGGCTGCTTTAGCAGCAGGAGTAAC